GTGTGATAGGAACTCGGAATATCATATAAGTGATATTTTATTGAGGTGCGATAGGAACTCGGAATATCATATACGTGATATTTTATTGAGGTGCGATATGAACTCGGAATATCATATAAGTGATATTTTATTGAGGTACAATATAAACTAAGAATATCATATAAGTGATATTTTATTGAGGTGCGATAGGAACTCGGAATATCATATCAGTGATATTTTATTGAGGTGTGATAGGAACTCGGAATATCATATAAGTAATATTTTATTGAGGTGCGATATGAACTCGGAATATCATATAAGTGATATTTTATTGAGGTACAATATCAACTAAGAATATCATATAAGTGATATTTTATTGAGGTGCGATAGGAACTCGGAATATCATATAAGTGATATTTTATTGAGGTGCATTATAAACTAAGAATATCATATAAGTGATATTTTATTGAGGTGCATATCATATAAGTGATATTTTATTGAGGTGGTGCGATATGAACTCGGAATATCATATAAGTGATATTTTATTGAGGTGCGATATGAACTCGGAATATCATATAAGTGATATTTTATTGAGGTACAATATAAACTAAGAATATCATATAAGTGATATTTTATTGAGGTGCGATAGGAACTCGGAATATCATATAAGTGATATTTTATTGAGGTGCGATATGAACTCGGAATATCATATAAGTGATATTTTATTGAGGTGCGATATGAACTCGGAATATCATATATGTGATATTTTATTGAGGTACAATATAAACTAAGAATATCATATGAGTGATATTTTATTGAGGTGTGATAGGAACTCGGAATATCATATAATTGATATTTCATTGAGGTGCGATATGAACTCGGAATATCATATAAGTGATATTTTATTGAGGTGCGATATGAACTCGGAATATCATATAAGTGATATTTTATTGAGGTACAATATAAACTAAGAATATTATATAGGTGATATTTTATTGAGGTGTGATAGGAACTCGGAATATCATATAAGTGATATTTTATTGAGGTGCGATAGGAACTCGGAATATCATATAAGTGATATTTTATTGAGGTGCGATATGAACTCGGAATATCATATAAGTGATATTTGATTGAGGTACAATATAAACTAAGAATATCATATAAGTGATATTTTATTGAGGTGCATTATCAACTCAGAATATCATATAAGTGATATTTTATTGAGGTGCGATATGAACTCGGAATATCATATAAGTGATATATTATTGAGGTACAATATCAACTAAGAATATCATATAAGTGATATTTTATTGAGGTGCGATAGGAACTCGGAATATCATATAAGTGATATTTTATTGAGGTGCGATATGAACTCGGAATATCATATAAGTGATATTTTATTGAGGTGCATTATAAACTAAGAATATCATATAAGTGATATTTTATTGATGTGCATTATAAACTCGGAATACCATATACGTGATATTTTATTGAGGTGCGATATGAACTCGGAATATCATATAAGTGATATTTTATTGAGGTGCGATAGGAACTCGGAATATCATATAAGTGATATTTTATTGAGTTACAATATAAACTAAGAATATTATATAAGTGATATTTTATTGATGTGTATTATAAACTCAGCATATCATATCAGTGATATTTTATTGAGGTGCGATAGGAACTCGGAATATCATATATGTGATATTTTATTGAGGTGCGATAGCAACTAAGAATATCATATCAGTGATATTTTATATGCGATATATAAGTGATATTTTATTGAGGTGTGATATTTTATTATAACTCGGAATATCATATAAGTGATATTTTATTGAGGTGCGATATGAACTCGGAATATCATATAAGTGATATTTTATTGAGGTACAATATAAACTAAGAATATCATATAAGTGATATTTTATTGAGGTGCGATAGGAACTCGGAATATCATATAAGTGATATTTTATTGAGGTGGTAGGAACTCGGAATATCATATAAGTGATATTTTATTGAGGTGCGATATGAACTCGGAATATCATATAAGTGATATTTTATTGAGGTACAATATAAACTAAGAAATCATATAGTGATATTTGATTGAAGTGCGATATGAACTAAGAATATCATATCAGTGATATTTTATTGATGTGCATTATAAACTCAGAATATCATATCAGTGATATTTTATTGAGGTACAATATACACTAAGAATATCATATTAGTGATATTTTATTGAGGTGCGATAGGAACTCGGAATATCATATAAGTGATATTTTATTGAGGTGCGATATGAACTCGGAATATCATATATGTGATATTTTATTGAGGTACAATATATGTTGTGGAGTCTCTATCTTAAGATGAGTGAAAGAAAGGTTTATGGTTTTGTCAGTATGTTTATAAATAAGGTTTGAAGGTGTTACAGGAACATTTTCAAATAGGTCAAATATCCAATATAGCCGCCATGACGTCATAAGTTAAAAACTTAAATACGGCAATATCTCGAAAACCATTGATTGTACAGAGCTTTTGCACTAATATTATTTGTAGAGAATTTCCATATCTAACTTTTTCTCATGCCATATTAATACAAAATATGTCAAATAAAAAAGCTCGCTGTGGGGTAAAATTTTCAAAATTTAACAAATTTTTTCCTTTTTTTTTCAATTTTGAATTTCTTGAAATTTTCATCTTCAGATCGATGCAGAACGTCCTTCCGATGAATTAAGTGTTTTCAGTTCATCTGAAACGTTTACCATTTTGAAATTTTTCTTTGATCTTTTAAAAATGCCGACAAATAGGAAAATCTCGTTCTAGATCAATATTGATAGGCTATATTTTATCAAATTGTTACTGAGAAGATTTCCCCAGATGTCTTCTACCATTTAGTGACATTTACAAATTCATCAGAAAAACAAATTGGCCGCCATGACGTCATTTCCGATTTTACCTAAAATGCCGTAACTGAAGAACTATTTAAGCTAGTGACCTCAGTTTTAATCATATTATGTATATTAAAAGGAAAACACTTTTCACAAGAAAAGAGCTGGGATCAAAGGTCAACTTCCGGTTTTCGGTAGGGGTCAAATTTCAAAAGTGTTATTTTCAGTTACAAACTTTGACAAGCTTCTTCTCAAGTTCTGCAAAGCCTTGAGTCTTGATATTTCATGTGTAAGAGGTCTGTTTAATTATCAATCAAGTTTGTTAATATAAATGACCTTGACCCACTTTCAAGGTCACAGGGGTCAATTATGTAAAATTCGTTAAATGGTATTTTCCATTGTTAAGCTGCCCAAAGTCTTCAACTTTGGACGTAAATATTCTGTGGACATTTCCTGTCGGTTGATATAAGTGAAACGTACCTCAAAATTCAACTTCCGGTTTGCGGTAGGGGGTCAAAGTTGAAAAGTGCTATTAAGGGTACCAATCTTTGAAAACTTCTTCTCAAGTTCTGAAACGCCTAGAGGCTCTATATTTCAGCTTTATGAAGCATATGTGACTGGCATTAAAGTTTGATAATAAAAATGACCTTGGCCAACTTTCAAGGTCACAGAGGTCAATTAACTAAGAATCGTTAAATGACAGTTTCTCATTTTCTAGAAGGCATACAGTGATGAAAATTGATTATAAACCTTCTGTGGATACTTCCTATTGATTGTCAAAAGAAAAACTTCCCTCAAAATTCAACTTCCGGTTTTCGGTAGGCGTCAAAGTTCAAGGGTTCAATTTTGTGACATAAAATTTAAAAATCTTCCCAAACACCAAAAGGCCTAAGGTCATGCTATTTGGTCAATATCATACTTAAGTAGTGGAAAATAAAGTTTGTTTATATGAACGACCTTGATTCATGTTCAAGGTCACAGGGGTGAAATATATTTGAACATTAAAAATTGTTCAATTTATCTTGATGTAGTTATATCTTCTTAACGTTTTAAATAGAAAGTTCATCTTTCGATATGTTATAGATATTAACAAACGAAGAAACTTTCTCATATATTGTTATCAGGAAAAATGTCAACTTCCGGTTTCCGAAAGGGGTTAAAGTTCAAATATACAAAATGGGGTACCAGTGTTCAACAATCTTCTTGTCAAGTTCCACAAGGTCTAGAGAACTAATACTTGGTATATATTGATCATCAGATGTTACGTTATAAGGCTTGCAAATATGAATGACCTTGACCGACATTCAACGTCACAGGAGTCAAATATGTTTGAACCTTTAAAAACTGTTTTTCTTCGTTATTATGTAGTCATATCTCCTTAAAGTTTCAAGATACAAAGTTTATCTTTGGATATGTTGTAGAGATTAACAAACAAAGAAACTTTCTCATATATCGTTATCAGCAAAAAATGTCAACTTCCGGTTTCCGTAGAGGGTCAAAGTTGAAATCATTGTTGAAATGTACAATATAGGGTACCAGTGTTAAACAATCTTCTTCTCAAGTTCCACAAGGTGTAGAGCACTGGTATTTAGTATATACTGATATACAGGTGTTATTTCATAAGGCTTGCAATTATGAATAACCTTGACTAACATTCAAGGTTACAGGTGTCAAATGTATATGAAATCTTAAAACATCCTTGAAAAAACAAAAAGCAAAGGGGACTGATATTAGGCTTGTAGAATGCTGGGATGAAGGACTACCATTTTTGTTCTGACTAGGAGTTGTTATTTTCTAAGTTGGTTCGAAATCCAAGATGGCTGCCATGACCGCCATTTTGAAAATGGATGTTTTTGAAATGCGCAGGTCAGCTTGAGCAATTCTGTTTAGGTCTGCCGTAAATGAAGCTGAGATTAACTTAAACTAGTGCTGTTTTCCGGGGAGTCTGTCTAATATCTAAGATTGTCGCCAAAGAAGTGAAAAGAATGCAAAATTGTTGGCAACAATTTCTAGTTGATATTTCTGCGATATGAACTCAGAATATCATGTAAGTGATATTTTATTGAGGTGCGATATGAACTCAGAATATCATATAAGTGATATTTCATTGAGGTGTAATATCAACTCAGAATATCCTATAAGTGATATTTTATTGAGGTGCAATATAAACTCAGAATGTCATATAATTTAGGAATCTACAAAGTAAGATCTTATTCTTTATACAAGAGGTGTGCAGACTTACATCAGATGAGTATATGAAATATCAATCTTTCAAATTTTTTTACGTGTCTAAATCAAAACGGTCTGTTCAGTTTTTCCTCAGTATCATGACTGCTAATGAATATACTTCAATTAAAGAAACATCATCCATATTTTTTGTTTACCAAAATCCTACTGGAAGAAATATGTTTTCCATCATTATATTTATCTGAATTTATATGAAAGAAACACTATCAGTATTTTATGAAATTTCCCACCGATAAAAGTCATCAATGTTTTTTATCTAATAAATTTCCACAGTGAAAGTTGAGAAATACTATACATTTTATTTGAATTCCCTATTTAAGAAACACATGTTTCAATCAAAAGATCATCATCCCTCTATGTTTGCATTTCCTGGAAGTCCAGTAAAAGAGATACCATCTGACTGTATCTTTTGTAAATGTTTCATGTAAGTTCAGTAAAAGAGATACCATCTGACTGTATCTTTTGTATATGTTTCCTGTAAGTCCAGTAAAAGAGATACCATCTGACTGTATCTTTCAAGTAATGAGACCACTTTAATCATAAAGTAATCACTGCACCAAAATATCACACCACAGTCACAATGTTTTCCATCTTGCATACATCTTTTTAGCCACGGACTTCTTCAGGAATGAAGTTTTGATATATGAGGAATACGTCAGCAGACATCATGCAATAAAATCCAGTGGACGGTTAAATCCTCCACGTCTGTTCATGTATTGTCTACAAGAAACAAATACAACAATGATTAACTCCCTTTTCTTTAACAAATGTCTCACCTTTTTTAAATGCTCATTTAAGAAATAAATGACGATAGCTGACTATAGCAGATGATTAAAAATTAGAACAAACCTGTATCGACGTTTTCGGGCAGTGTTGGCCACATATATGTCGTTTCCTGCAACCTTTTTACCCTGTAAATAAGATACCAAAAAAAATAGTAACACTATATTTACATCTAGAGAAACATATTTATATAAGCATTTGTGATTGTGATGAACTGTCCTCTAAAGACATTTATGGTCGAGCAAAACACATTACACCCTACATGACCTGTACACCTTCACTCCTGCCAAATAGATAAGAGGTCCAGAGGGCCTGTATTGCTCAACTGGATCATTTTGATAAACTGTACAATATCTGTGCATATGTTCCACAGAAGATGCTTAAAGCAATATGACAAATTACTCCATATGAGTTCTGTCACTAAGTAGTCCAAAATAAGTCATTTGTATATAAGTCTTTAATGGCCAAATATGATGGGTTTTGGTTAATCAGAAGAAGTTGATTAACTATTTCACCAAATCTAACCCCAACGACCATAAATATCATTATGGGTCAAGCTATTTTTTCACACACTATGTAGGAACCTTTTGGACAAATATTATGATCCTAAGCCTTTAGCTTAATCAGAAGTTGTTCAAAGGTTTAACACATTTGACTGTTGTGACCTTGAATATGGGTCAAGGTCATTTCTGTTCTCAAATATTACAGGGCATCATTGAGAACCTATTTTGGAATAAATCACTATCCCTCATGTTTTGGATCATCAGAATATGTAATTTAAAGGTTTAATACATTTGACCCCTGTTACCTTGACTATGGGGCAAGGTCATTTCTTTTTGCAAACTTTCTTGGATTTCATAAAAGGAACATACTGGCCAAATATAATTATTCTAGGCTTTTCTATATTTCATCAGAAATTGTTTAAACGTTTTAACACATTTGACCTGTGTGACTTTGAATAAGGGTCAAGGTTATTTCTTTTCTCAATCTTTGTTGGACTTCATCAAAAGAACCTTCCAGCCAAATATAATGATTCTAGGCCTTCTGGTATTTTGACAGAAGTCGTTTAAAGGTTTTAACACATTTGACCTCTGTGACCTTGAATATGGGTCAAGGTCATTTCTTTTTGCAAACTTTGTTGGGCTTTACCAAAGGAACCTTCCAGCCAAATATAATGATTCTGGGCATTCCAAAAATTTGGAAGAAGTCATTTTAAGTTTTTAACACATTTGACCTCTGTGACCTTGAATATGGGTCAAGGTCATTTCTTTTTGTAAACTTCGTTGGGCTTTATTAAAGGAACCTTCCAGCGAAATATAATGATACTAGGCCTTCTGGTATTTTGGAAGAAGTCGTTTGTAGGTTTTAACACATTTGACCTCTGTGACCTTGAATATATGGTCAAGGTCATTTCTTTTTTGCAAACTTTGTTGGGCTTCATCAAAGGAACCTTCCAGCCTAATATAATAATTCTAGGCCTTCCGATATCTTGGAAGAAATTGTTAAAAGGTTTTAACACATTTGACCTCTGTGACCTTGAATATGGGTCAAGGTCATTTCTTTTTGCAAACTTTGTTGGGCTTCATCAGAGGAACCTTCTAGCCAAATATGATAACTCTATCTTTTCGGTATTTCAGAAGAAGTTGTTTATATGAAAAGTTGATGGACGCAGGACAGACAGACGGTGGTCGACGGACGGCAGGACAGACGACGGCGCGCGATATGGCATAAAAACAAGAGATCCCAATGAGATCTTCGCACCCATCATTCTTTGATTTTAATTTGCTATTTGAAAGATGGATGCTTTCAATTCTTTTCTCTTTTCTTCTTTGTTTTTGCTCTTAGTGATAAGGCATTTGAACATTGAACATTTTCTGATCCCTAACGAATTAGATAAGGTGCTATATAAATTTAGTATATTATTATTATTATTATTATCCCAAACTCGAATAGGCACAACAAGAGACCTAAAGGAATCACCTATACAAGAAATTTGAGAAAGATCTATTGAGCAGTTCTCAAGAAAGAGTGATAATACATGTTCATCTTCAAAATCCAAAATGGCCACTTGTAGGCCATTTTGTTTTTTTCAGATCAGTGTAGGGATCAAGGAAAGCATACACATGAAATTTGAGAAAGATCTATGCTGTAGTTTCTCAAGAAGTAGCGATAACAAACTTTCAATGTCAAAATCGAAGATGTCCGTCACTTAGCATTTTTGTTTTCCTGATCAGTCTCAATATAACATAGGCATAACTAGAGACCAAGGGTAACCTACATATGAAATTTGAGAGAGATCCATCTCTTACTTTTCAAGAAATAGCAATAACAAACTTCATTGAAAAATTCCATGATGCCTACCTGTCAGTCGTTTCGTTTTTTTGAACAGGCCCGAAATCAAATGGGCACAACTAGGGACCAAGGGGAACCTACATATCAAAATTTTAGGAAGATCCATCCAATACTTCTTAAGAAATAGCGATAATAAAAGTTGTTTATGGACAGACAATAGATCATGGACACAAAGCGATTTGAATATCCCACCATCTAATGTTTAATTACATGGTACACATAAAGCAAATAGAAATTGTGCATAATATTAACTTTTGTTCAATGCTAAGGCTTCTAACCTAGTTTGAATTTAAAGAAAGTAACCAAACATTTTATTATCCTATATAAAATCTTTGATCCTGGAACAGTAGAACATCTTTGAAATTTCAGTGAAAGTGACCCATTTTTGGTCTGGCTTATCAATCCCTTGGGGACTGCTGTGGTCAGTATGTGCATCTCTGTCAGTTATACTAATGATTCTAACCAAGTTTGAACTATTTCTAAAGGAAAATAAACAAATCATACTCAAAAATGTAATTTTCCTATATAAACTATAGTAAACTTTATCCCTCCCTAGGAGGAAATGTGAGACCCTGGGATCATGAAATTTACAATTTTGGTAAAGCATCTGATAGCCTTTCCATCCATGAAAAGTATTTCATTCTACCCTACCTGGGATTTGAGAAGAAGATCTTTGAAGTTTCAATCATTTGACCCATTTTGGCCCTGCCCCTCAGGGACCACATTATTTACTATTTTGGTACACCTTTAGCCATCAAAGGTTTTCGTAAAATTTCATTGAAATCGGTGCAGGAGTTTTCCGAAAGAAATTGAAAATGCTAAAAGTTTATGATGCACAGCGCACGACACACTTAAAAATAGAGATCGCAATAAAAAGACTCATAGGGCCCGTATTGCTCACTTAGGTTTGGCTGGTTGCAATCACTTCATCAAAATTAAATGAGGAGGAATATTCATGCACATAACATATTTGCTCTATTTCAATTTGTTCTGCCCCTCCTGTCCACTGGGGTTGAGACCCATCATTTATAACAGTTTTATTACAACAGTTTGATTCCCATTTGATTTTTTCCCCAAAACATGGTGTGAAGCATATTTGGGGAAAAAAATCAAATCATTCCTACAAGAAGGATTTATTAGAATTCACCCTATGCTCCTACTGGGCTCTGGCATTCCCACCCCTGGGGACCCCATGAATACTTTTTTATTCAAAACTGATACTCTTTCACCGAAGAATTCTGTGGACCACATTTGGGCAAAGAACAAAGGAGGAACAAGAGGAGTGAAATTCTAAATTATTTGCTATAACCGACTGTATTGGACACAAAATTATATAAAAAAGCACCACAATCCTGTAATTAAGGGCTTGCAGGCATGAATTTGGTACACTGCATCTTTGGACCATGTGAGCTAAAAACTTGTTTATATCTACTCATATTACTATGATCAAATAACCTAACAATTAGGAGTAGTAAATCAATCAAGCAATATATGTGATGCCTGTAAGGGAAATTTCATTGACCCTTTTGGATTGATTGAGCAATTGATTCAGATGTCATGTCACGATGGGATATCAGTGTCATCAACATCACTAACTTCCAGGTTTGATACTGTAAATAATTTAGATTTCACATACTTTATTTCACAACTCACATCTTCCAGTTATATTTGCAAATACATGATTCTTCACAAACTGTGGTCTAGAAATTACTTTAAATTCGCAAATGATGGGTTATTAGATATATGCACTCTAATAATGGCACCAAATCAAGAATTATTTCTATACAAATAATGGTGATTGATTTCCTGGTGTGTTAATGTGAAAATCAATCCTATGCAAAATTTTAAGTGATTTTCAGTAGGCAAATGAGAAATTTATGGACAGCAAATTGTGATTATATATATATGACCAATCAAGTGTTGTGTTACATTTCAAATTAATTCAAAATTTCTATGTAGATAATTACCTTTGTTGAATCAAATGAAACAAAGCCCATGGCTTTCATCATGGCTGCCTCTGATTTCACAAATGAATTTTCTTGTGGTTCTACAACAACGTCATCGTCATCATCCTCTATCTCATATACCTCGTGATCAGACAGATATTCCACGACTACAACCAGACAATACAAAATAATATTGTAATTCTTACCCAGCATCAGACATCAGAAACATTTTTGATTAACTGTTCTACACATTTTTAGTATGATATTTCTCATACATACTGAGTACTTACTATTTCAGTTTGGGAACAGTTTCAAAAATCTAATTCATTTAAGGACATATGGATTGAACAATGGTGTAGGTATGTGGTCAGGATAGGGGTGTGTGTGATGGGTAGTAGGTGGTCGGAGTTTGTAGAGAGAAGAATCACAGCGTTTCATAAAAAAAAAAAAACTGAATCTATTCCTCCCCTGGTAAAATCCACCCTGTTTAAAAAGAGTAATACCATAACACTTGTTAGTGACAAGCCAATGTCTGGCAATAAGTCAGTTGATATATTATGTCGTTCCTAGACAAACTAATGCTATCTTATATGATTGTAAATATCTATAATTACATATATAACAAAAGATCCCAAAGGGATCTTGGCACCAATCATCTTTTGATTTTGATTTTTTCTTTCAAAGTTGGATCTTTTCCATTCTTTTCTCTTCTTTCCTCATAATCATACAGAATATGAGAATTTCTCTAAAGATAGAGCAGTAATAATCTTCAAGTATGAAAAAAAAAAATGGCTCCCTACCAGTGTTTAATTTATCTGAAGTCTCAGAATCAAACGGGCACAGAAAGGATCCAAAGGAAGCATAGATATAAAATTTGAGAAAGATCCATCCAGTATTTGTCAAAAAATAGCAATAACAAAATTTCAAAATCCAAGAAGTTGGATTAGCACAAAAATGGGATAATGAACAACTTGGGACCATGATGTAATTATGTGTGAAATTTGAGAAAGATCAGTCCAATACTTCGCATGAAAAAGTGATAACAAAATGTCAGTGTCAAAATTCAAGATAGCTGTCTGTTGGACATTTTGTTTAATCTAGCAGACTCAAAAGAGCACTGCTAGTGTCAGAAAGGAACCTACATATGAAATTGGTGATAAATCCATTCAGTACTTCCTAAAAAATAGCCATAAACTTTCATTGTAAAAATAAAACAAGAGGCCCATGGGCCTTAACAGTCATCTGACAAAAAGCAAGCCAAACTCTAACAACAGTGAGTCTACCGTTAAAACAGTGGGCTTTATTCATTTGAATAAACTTGGTAGCCCTTCCTCCCAGCATCCTACAGGCCCAATATCAGCACTCTGAGCCTTTTGGTTACTGAGAAGAAGTCGTTTACAGATTTTAACATATTTGAACCCTGTGATCTTGAAAGTGGGTCCAGGTCATTCACTTGAACACATTTGGTAACACTTCCTCAAAGCATCTAACAGGCCCAATATCAGCACTCTAATCATTTTGGTTATTGAGAAGTCATTTGCATATTTTAACATATTTAATGCCTGTGACCTTGAAAATGGGTCAAGGTTATTCATTTTAACAAATTTGGTAGCATGTCATCCCAGCATCCTACAGGTCCATTATCAGCACTCTTGGACTTCTGCTTATTGAGAAGAAGTCGTTTGTATATTTTAACATATTTGACCCCTGTGACCTTGAAAGTGGGTCAAGGTAATTCATTTGAACAAACTTGGTAGCCTTTCTTCCAAGCATCCTACAGGCCCAATATCAGCACTCATGGACTTTTGCTCATTGAGAAGAAGTCGTTTGTATGTTTTAACTTATTTGACCCCTGTGACCTTGAAAGTGGGTCAAGGTCATTCATTTGAACAAATTTGGTAGCCCTTCATCCAAGCATCCTACAGGCCCAATATCAGCACTCATGGACTTTTGCTTATTGAGAAGAAGTCGTTTGTATATTTTAATATATTTGACCCCTGTGACCTTGAAAGTGGGTCAAGGTCATTAATTTGAACAAACTTTGTAGGGCTCCATGCCAGCATGCTATGGGCCAAGTATTAGCCCCCTAGGCCTTCTAGTATTTGAGAAGAAGTTTTTGAATGAAAAGTTTACGGACAACGCACGGCAGACGGCGCACGTCAGATGACCTAAAAAGCAACCTGTCAGACATTTTTTGATCAGTTCCAAAATCAAAAGAGTAAAACTAGGGACCACGGAGTCCCTATATATTACTTTTGAAATTTGAGAATGATCCATCTAGTATTTCTCCAAAAATAGTGATCACAAACTATTACTGTCAAAATCCACGATGACTGCCTGAAGGACATGATGAATTTCTAATCAGTCTGGAAATAGGACAATGCACAACTTATGAAATCAGAGAAAGATTCATCCACTACCTCTCAACAAATAGTGATAACAAGAACTACAGTCAAACTTCGATGATTCAAATTTCTTGATGTATCAAAGTTTTTGCCCGATTCCAAATTTTTTCCCTATATATTACTAGTAACTTACCCTTTAATGAATCAAAGTTTTATAAATCCAACTTTTTGATGTGTCATTGATGCCTAATGGTTCAAGCAAAACATTTACCTTGGCAGTACTGTACAAGTATTTTCGCCCTGTGGCAAAATTTCACACATTTTTATGAAGAGCGCTACCTGACAATGGGATTACAATAACCCGCTTTCATTAACTCTGTGATACCAGATAAACTAATGACTGGCCACATATTAGAATTGAATTGCTTGCTTTTGAACCATGATATTTAATCAAAGATAAAGGGACATCATGTGATATCTACCAACACTATTGTGGTAATGGCATTAAGTTAGATCTAATTTACACAATTTTGAAGACAATTGGGAGGAAATTCTTTCACTTGTATGATTAATTTCACCCATTCCCAAAACATTACTTTAAGTTTCAAGCATAAAAGCATAAGAAACACTGTGATTTATCACTCAATCATGTGTTACCCGATTGTTTAAGACTAGCTGTTGTCAGAACATTGGCAAGCACTTGTGTGATGTGTGATATTAGTGCTGTCATTTCTGGATAGAATACATTAAGATATCAGTTTACTTGCTTTTCAATTCATTAGTACCTATAACGTTTCTGTATCAGTCTTTAAAATAATTGCTGCTACACATACGCAGACCACTTTAATGCTGCTCGTCATTTCATTTAAAACTGATCCATGAAATACATATAATATGTGACAGGAAGGCACGAATGTAAATGTAAGCATGCATTATCAATTTCTCGTTGATTTCTATTTAAAGTTATGTTTCTCTTTACACAGATGAAGATGTTTTATTTTAAGATAAAAATGCATGTTTTCCTTGACCTTTTGTTTTGGTATTTGTTCTTGTTCAGGTAGAAATATTGTGTCACCAATCCAATATATATCCATGAGCATGAAAACATCAATATAACCCAACACGTATGATTCAAAGTTTTTTTGTAGTCCCTCAAACTTCGAAACATTAACTGACATAGGAACCATGGACCATTGACATAGAGCAATTTGAATAGAATTAGGGTTGGGTTAGGGAAATTAAATGTCAAGCGTAGAGTCAAACACAACTCTTGAAATTTCCTGATGTGTGTCAGTTCTGTAGTTATGGTATTACCTGTTATCCTTACATACATGTATACCACAAGTGTTTTAAACTCAATTAACCGTGGAAGACTGGAAAATATTCAACAACTTATTGTGCCAATTGAAAACATTACAAAATTTTGTATCATTAAAGAACATCTGAGAGACATTTTCTTCTTTCTTATTATGGTTATGTAGTGATATGACTGAGAAGTTTTTGGTGATACTACTAGATCGTTTGCAGTGATACTACTGGGAGGTTTGGGGTGATACTACTGGGAGGTATGGGGTGATACTACTAGATCGTTTGGAGTGATACTACTGGGAGGTTTGGGGTAATACTACTGAGGTTTGTAGTGATTCTTATGAGAGGCTTAGGTGATACTACTGGGAGGTATGGGGTGATACTACTGGGAGGATTGGGGTAATGCTAATGGGATGTTTGAGGTGATACTACTGGGAGGTTTGGGGTGATTCTACTAGGTATTTGGGGTTAAACTACAGGGAGGTTTGGGTGATACTACTGGGAGGTTTGGGGTGATACTACTAGATTGTATAGAGTGATACTACTGGGAGGTTTGGGGTGATACTAGTGGGAGGTATGGAGAGATATGAGTGGGAGGTTTGGGGTTATACTAATGGCAGGTTTGGGGTGATACTACTGGGAGGTTTGTAGTGATACTACTGGATGTTTGGAGTGATACTACTGGGAGGTTTGGGGTGATACTACTGGAGGTATGGATTGATACTAATGGGAGGTTTGGGTGATACTACGAGGAGGTTTGGGTTGATAATACTGGGAGGTTTGTGGTGATACTACTGGGATGTTTGGGGTGATAATACTAGGGTGTTTGGAGTGATACGTATGGGAGGTTTGGGGTGATACTACTGGGAGGTTTGGAGTGATACTACAGGAGGTTTGGAGTGATACTTCTTGGGAGGTTTGGGGTGATACTACAGGAGGTTTGGAGTGATACGTATGGGAGGTTTGGGGTGATACTACTGGGAGGTTTGGGGTGATACTACTGGGAGGTTTGGGGTGATACTACTGGGAGGTTTGGGGTGATACTACTGGGAGGTATGGGGTGATACTACTGGGAGGTTTAGAGTGATACTACTGGGAAGTTAGGAAAGAATCTATTGGGAGGTTTGGGGTGATACTACTGGGACATATGGGGTGATACTACTGGGAGGTTTTGAGTGATACTAATAGAAAGGTTTTGAGTGATACTACTGGGAGGTTTGGGGTGATACTACTAGGAGGTTAAGGGTGATATGACTGAGAAGTTTTTGGTGCTACTACTAGATCGTTTGGAGTGATACTACTGGGAGGTTTGGGGTGATACTACTGGAGGTTTGGAGTGATACTAATGGGAGGTTTGGGTGATACTACGAGGAGGTTTGGGTTGATAATACTGGGAGGTTTGTGGTGATACTACTGGGATGTTTGGGGTGATACTACCCAGAGGTTTGGGGTGATACTACTGGGAGGTTTGGGGTGATAATACTAGGGTGTTTGGAGTGATACTTCTTGGGAGG